CTCATCATGCTTCTCAACTAGCTTCATGAGGATGAGCTTGTCTTTGCTACTTAGATGATCAAGAGTGTAACTATCTTCAATTTCAATATCACTCTCCACTTGATCATCTATTTGTGCTATCTCCTTGGCTTGTTCTTTCTTGTTAGTCTTCTTCTTGCTTTTCTTGGCCATAAGACACAAGTGATGAGAATCATGAGATACTGAGGTTGACTCATCACTTGGTCACCACCGGTCTTGAGCATCCTTGCAAACAGCTGCTTGCTGCTCTGCTACCTTGGCCATATCGGACACGTCCGGTAGGCATACTGGACACATCCAGTATGTGCAGGCAGACAGCAGCTCATGCGCTGCTTGCACTTCTTGCTCCGGCTCAGCGCTCTTGAGGTCTTGTGAGGCTTCTTCGCTGCATGAAGACACAATGGACATACTTTCCATTGAATTGCACTCAATAGCATGATCACATTTGGATTTTCCATATAATTCAACAAGTCTAGTCTAAATGAGATGAGCACTCTCCGAAGGTGGTTGTCTATTAAAGATTGCCTCATCTTGAACCTCTGCACTCAATGTACTCAAAATGACATTAATAGCTTGTGCATTGAGTTGCACACATATCTCTTCCTCTTTTGACAAATTTTTGTAGTTGCTCCAATCAACTATAGGAAGAGGTATGCTTGCATCCACAATATGCTCAACAAGAGGACTAATATCCCTAAAGGCATTGAGTACATGAATTGACCAAGGTAGAAAGTTTGAACCATCATTTTAGAGAAGCACCAGCTCCAACTCGATAGGCGTCGACATCCTTTTCTCACAGCGGTGAAGCTTTAGGTGAGTTTTGGATCTGATACCACTTGAAAGGACCTAAGATGCCGCCTAGAGAGGGGTGAATAGGCGTTTCTGAAAATTAACACCTTTAAAAGCAGAAACAATTTAGTAATGGGAGTTTCCGAGTGGAAACTCCAAATCAGAGTAATACAACCCCTCACAAGTTAGCCAACGAGTAAATAAACAATATTAAATAATCCTAGGAGCCTAGAACCTACAACACAAGAGTTAGAACATGGATCAAATAAATTCAACACTGAACTCTAATACCGAACGTGTCTGGTAGGTACATGTTCTACAGAACAGCCCCAAACTTGCTCCTTTTGATTTCAATCTTTAGACCAACCTATAGGCACCCACTAAAGATAGTGCCACACACAGGTAACCTGCACAAGAGGTAGAGCAACACAAATATCAAATCAAATGCGAATTGAGACACAATATTTATTTTACCGAAGTTCGAACTCGGTTGAGTCCTACTCTCCGTTGAGGGGGCTGCGGGTGACCCAACGAAGGTTAGCCCTAGAGGGTACCACGAAGGTCACTCTAGCCGGAGTCTTTTCCAACTCCTTTTCCTCCTTCCACTAGATGATTTCTTCCCTTGCGGTGGCAGAATCAACCATCGGTGGCAGAATCAACCATTACAGACTTTCCGAGGCAACCACAATCTCTCGGGTGCTCTCCGGCGACGCCTAGCCATCTAGGACCGAAGAGTCCAAGAGTAACAAATGTGAATCATGAAATAGACAATATGCAAAAATACTCAAGTGGTGGCTTGCTCTCTTTTTCGAATTCTCTCTCAACCCACAAATGGATTTTGCGATTTGGATCACACACTCACTAAGAGAGGGTTGGGAGAGTTGGCAAGGCTCAAAAACGTGTATTGCAACCAGCAAAATCAGCAGCCTCCAAAGGTGTAGGCTAAGGGGTATTTATAGCCCCTTTGAAAAAACTAGCCATTATGTAGCCATTGCTATACCGGACACGCATACCGGACACATCCGGTATGACTTGCACTGCGCCAACGGTCACTAAGTTAAAGTATGCGAGGTATCGGAACTCCCGACGCTATTCGGGACTTCTGACTGTCGGAACTCCCGACCAACTCAAGTCGGAACTCCTGACCCTCGGCTCGTTTGAAAACTAGCCATTGGGCTCTGGCCTACTATACCGGACACGTCCGGTAGCAATACCGAACACGTCCGGTGTGACCAGGCAGTTAACTCTCCAAGTCAGTTAGCTGTCAGGACTCCCGACGCTTGTCAGAACCACCGACCCCCAGAACTCTCGATCCACTTGTCAGGACTTTCGACAAACCCAGTTAGAGAAACACCTGAGTGACCCTACCATACCAGACACGTCCGGTATGCATACCAGGCCCGGTATGCTCGGTCACAAAACAAAGTTAGTTTCTCTCTTCTCTCTTTCACTCAAACCTCACATAGGTTTTCTTGAGCACTTATGAATAATCATCTATCAACATGATGTATCCCTCTTAATAGTACGACGTTCCTATAAACTCAAGATCAAAGGAAAAACGAATTTAAACCTCTTGAGTTGATCTTCTCTAAACCGATGTCGTGTCTTTCAATCTTCATCAAGTGAGGGTGCCAACATGTCGATATTGATCTTTTCACTTGAGCATGTGACTTGATTCCATTCATCAAATATGAATAACTCCAAAAGCATCAAGTCACTTCCAACACTTTGTCCAATATAGATTTGATCCTCCACATCAATATGACCATCATAGCTTGATTAGTACCTCAACCAAATGCAAGTACTTCCTTCTTCACCCTAGCTAGGTTCTTCGTCCGACAAGCCGTCGCTTGCCCTTTACCCTTGCTTAGTACCTCGAAGCCTTTCCCTGCTATCTTCACCATCTCAAGCCATCAAGTCACACCTTGTGTTGAATCATACAATGAATTCCATAGAACACCGTCAATCATTGATATCCCACCATAATTAAGCCTTTGCATGAATTACATTTGTATTGTTGTCTTGTGCTTGAACTAGATTGCTTATACAACAATACATCATTTTGGCTTTATTAAGCATCTATGAGATAACTAATTTCCTGTTTCACACTTCGTAAACATGTTAGTCCTTTAATCGCATTGTCATTTAATCAACCAAAACCCACTAAAGGGCTAGATGCACTTTCAGCTTTGTTTGTGTCTTTGCATCCGGGCTTCTACTTCTTGGTGGCTTAGACTTGTAGAATGTCTTGCAGGTCTTCAACATGGCTTCCAATATCTTGCTTGAAGTGTTGATCATTTGGATCAGCACTTTGTCTAAGTCCAAGTCCACCTTGCATCCATTTGAACTATACCTTGTGTACTAGCAAACAACATTAGTCCAATTGGTCATTTTGTTCCTCAAACACCAAAATCCAAACTTAATGGACCATAGGTTCCATTTTCCTTACAATCAGTAGTGGCTAAAGCTTTCATGCAACACATATATCGGCTTCATGGGTTACCTTCAGTGATCATTGCTGATCAAGACCGCATCTTCATAAGTACCTCGTGGAAGGAGTTGTTTCGTTTGGCTAAGGTGTCTCTGCATAAGAGTTCCAATTATCACCTCTAATTAATTGGATAGTCAGATTAAGTAGCTGAACTAAACTATGGAGACCTTCCTTCGTTGTTTTGCTAATCCTTGTCCTACCAAATTGCTGAATTGGCTCGTACTCGTGGAATTTTGGTATAACACTTGCCCACACTTCACAATTAGTCGTTCTCCATCTGAAGCACTTTATGGCTATGTGCTTAAGAACTATGCCCAGGTCAGCAACGCCAGTGGTTGGATCTTGGATGATGGAAATTGGAACAACGGAGTAGACAGTTGCATCTAGATGGGGATGAAGGGGAGGAGAGGATCTGAATGGGGTGACTTTCTTGAGGTGCATCCACCGAAGACGAAGAAGACCCCCTAAGCTGCCACCACCGATGCGAACAACAATGGTGGAAGCCACGAACCAACCATGATGGCGGGGAAAGGGACCATGTGAGCCAAATTCTTAACTAAAAAACTAACCTTAGATGTCTGAAGAGGCAAATCCCCTCTCCTCCTTGCAATCAACATCGTTGCCAAAACAACAGAAAGAGGGGGACCTAGGGTAGCGACGATGGCTAAGAACCCGATCGGGAGGCGTGCAGGGGTGTTGTTTGGCGGGCATCACTAGTATGCCACAAACTTTTTTGCTTCAAAAACTAATATATGTATGATTTCATATGCTTGTGACTTTTTATGTAGATGGTTTTAAAATTTTCTTGACCATACTTGGAGGATCAATGGCCTATTTGTTTGAGCTACCACTTTTGCTTTTTGGATCAAAAGCTAGCTTTCTAGATTTTATCTTTTGGCTGATGGCTTTTTGCTAGTTTTTTTAATAAAATTTTAGCTTTTATCATACCAAAAGTTATAAAAGTATGCTCATAGTGTGCCTTTTAGCTTTTAGTTTATTTCCTCTTAAGCTATTTTCTAGGTTTTTAAAAGCCAATTCAATAATTGGGTTGTTTGATTCACCTTCTGGCTTCTGGCAGATAGAAACCAGCAAAAACCTGAAAACAAACCTGCCCTAAAAGTTGGAATGAGTGAATTTCTTTTTCATCTTTAAGCAGGCATGAACTTTGGCATGTTTCCTAGAGCTAGGATGGGCAAAATTTCACCTTTTAACCAAAAAAGTTGGTTAACTAAAATTTTCGTAATCTTTTTGTTGAAGATTTTAGCTCTATTTGGTTAATAAATTTATTTGGTTTCGTATGACTTTATATTAAACATTAAAAATATATCCATTTATATTTTTAAATGTATTTCTATGATATTTTATTTGCTAGAAGCATTCTTTGTTGTTGTTTTTTCTTTTCTTTTGTTATAATATGATGCGTTTTTCTTAGGTGCTTTTCAATACCATTATATTATTGAATTATCTTCATGTATAAAGTACCAAAACTGATTTTGTTCAGCTATTAGGTACTTATTAACAACAAATTCAGTTTACATTTGGTTAAAATCGAAATTTTTGATAACCGATGGAACGATTTAACTAACTGAATTAAGCGAATGGCCCAGGCGTAGCCAGAGGGAGAGCAAGTGCTGTGCTGCCTTCCGCCCTCACGGTGCACGGCTCAGTTGGCCACTGCCACGCCCACGCCACCCAAAAACTCATGGCCAGCGCTGTCTGCGGCGTCACCGCGCGCCCGCACCTGCCTTCCGCCGTCCCTGCAGCCGCAAGAAAGCTCTTCTTCCGCTGCAGGGCGGCCTCCACCATGAACGAGGCATCTGCGAGCTCGCCGGACGCCGAGGAGAAGAAGACGACGACCGTCTTCGTGGCCGGCTCGACGGGGCGCACCGGCAAGCGTGTTGTGGAGAAGCTGCTGGCCAAGGGATTCGGCGTCGTCGCCGGCACGACGGACGTGAGCAGGGCCCGTGGCAGCCTGCCCCAGGACCCCAACCTTAAGCTGGTGAGTTTAAGCTGACGTGCTTCTTGTTGTTGCCCTCGTTAAATTGGTGGGTTGGTGTTGTGAATTTGGGCCTTTGACTCTTTGAGTGACTGAAGGTCAGGGCTGACGTTACGGAGGGCGTCGACAAGCTGGTGGAGGCGGTGCGCGGCGTCGATGCTGTCGTCTGCGCGACGGGATTCCGGCGGTCCTTTGACCCTTTTGCTCCGTGGAAGGTTTGTATCTGGTTAATTTGTACAGAGTGACTGATGCTTCTTTCTTGTTCATTGCTTTGATTAGATCTTTCAGGTGCTATTATAGGGCTAAAATTATGAAATAGTGTAGGGAATGTTCTTGCCAGAATGCCCCGATTTAAATGTTTGTACCTGTCAAAAGTGTTCAGATTCTGTAGAAACTTTGGTAAATGTAGGTTGGTCAGCATTCTTGGCAGCAAGTTATTCTGAACCAATTAGTTTGAAGTTGCTATTCACACGTTCAGGCTATGCTGCCATCTCTTAATTCAAAGAAGCTGTAACCTTACTACTACTGATTACGACTACAGATAACTTATATATTGAGTAACTGGTGGAGCAAGGTCTCGAGTCGCCCGCACACCGCGCTTTCGCCGCCGCCACACCCTCTGGGTACAGTTCAGGTAGATGACCAAGTTCGAGTTCTCCTCTCCTCACTCAGCCGTTACATAGAGGGGCTTGTTGGGGCTGCCTCTCGTTCTGGGCCACGCAGGCCCGATACTCCTACTTTGCCTATTCTGGGCCGATCATACGCGGGTTGGGCCGCCTGCTTCTTTGCCACCCGGTCCAGCATACCAGGTACACGGTCGCCCTTCTGAAGTCGCCTCCGTCACCGTTTTCATCATCTTCAGATTCTTCAGGCTCTTCTCCAGCTGTAGTCACCGGAGTCGTCGATGGAGCATCGACGGTGACAGAAGCATAGGGCAGTTTCCCTCTTAATAAAATACACGCGATCCAAGTGTGCTCGTGAAAAAAAAGAAGAATAGGGTAGTTAGTATGGGATTATTACTTTGCAAATTGTATGCATCAAATTCTCAATTCTGAAAAGAATTCGCTTCAAAAAATCCGAAAAGAATGCTATATTCGAGGGTTGCCACATCACCATTCTGCTGTTCCTGATGGGATTTGGTTCAATATCTGGACAGTTAATTTGGACCCCTGAATTCCTAAAACCAGGCCAGCGGGCCATTGAGAATTCAATTAAAGTTTGAATTCACGCAGCATACAACTCTCAGTATTCTTTTGTGGGGCAATTTTAACATGTTTCATGTTTGGTACTTATAAGATGATCTAAGTTCACTTGTGCCCACTAATTTTGCCTCAGTGCTAGTTTTCTAGACCTTGGTTCTTGCATTGAGTACTATTCATAGTGTAGACATCCCTAATCCGTCTTTTCATCCACGGTTGTCTATATGGTGACTGGCTTAAAGTAATACTGGTAATCCAACAATGTTTTGTGTAACTGAGCTGATTTGGTCCACTGGTTCAGTTTTCTATTTGTTTAAGCAAGTTTAAAAAGATGTGGCGTAGAGGGTCTGTCAAATTATATTAATTACTCATAGTGTTTGGTAACTCTTGATGTTTGTATATATTTGGTATATTTAACGAACAATCAGTCCATGGCCTTGCAAATAAGAGCTTTAAGGATCCAATCATATCACTGGCAAATGGTTGAATGCAGATAGATACTCCTTTTGTTTCACAAATAACATCAGTGATAAATTTTGGTATTGCAGGTAGACAACTTTGGCACAGTGAACCTGGTTGAAGCATGCCGAAAGGCAGGCGTAACAAGATTTGTACTCATCAGCTCCATTTTAGTAAATGGGGCTGCTATGGGTCAACTTCTGAATCCAGCCTACATTGTGCTCAATCTACTTGGCTTAACACTGGTTGCAAAGCTACAGGCAGAGAATCACATCAGGAAATCAGGAATAAATTACACTATTGTAAGGCCTGGAGGGCTGACAGATCAACCCCCAACAGGGAATATAGTCATGGAACCTGAGGTAAAAACCTTAAACTTATTGCTTGATGCTATTACCAATAATAGTTTTTAAGTTAGGTGGATTAGAGGGTGGATTTGCATAATTTAGCAACGGTGATCCACTTTGGTTGCAAGAATTGTTTCCGATTCTTGCTGGAATCAGGAGAATCTGAACCAAACGTTGTTTTTGGTGAAGTGATTCTCCGGGGAACACCTCGTAATGTTTCTTCGTTTTGAGCTAGGAAGGAGAATCACCCAAATAGGTGTTTGGCAGTGATTCTAGTTCATTTTAGGGTGAATCTGGATTGATAGCCAAATTGTTTCACCAATTCTTACTAAGCGATTTGATTCAGCTGAGAAACATCTATAAGGAGAATCTGAATCCCTATCAAATGCCCCTGCAAAAGAAGAGACAGTGGAATTTAAGTTGTGGCTTCACGCTACATTCCACTAACACAATACACAAAACCTGTAACATATGTGGCTTTAAGGTGAGGTCTGCAAAACCATGTAACTAGGATATGCTATTCCATAGAACTTTTTACTGTTGGAAGTCAATAGGATGTCATTTCATTTTATGGAAGTAGTATAATTGGCGTTAATCGATATCGTTTTTATATGTACAATCCACGTTTTCAAAACACTAACATTGGTCAAATTTCTACAGTTGGACTGAATGCATTTTTCCCTTTTACAGGAGGGAGCTCTTCTATAAGAAAAATGCTCATCTTGTATGCATATTAGAAATAATGGATTGTACAATAAAACCAATCCGATCCAGATTAAGGAATACTAATATGTTTAGAGGCCTCCAGTGTGTTTTAGTGTTTTCTCATCTTGTCATTACTGGAAAGTACTCTTTGTCCACCAATAGTTTATGCATAGCATTTTTGTTATTGAAAATTTTCAGGACACTCTTTACTCGGGATCCATATCTCGGAGCCAGGTTGCTGAAGTAGCTGTAGAAGCATTGTTGTGTCCAGAGTCTTCCTACAAAGTTGTTGAGATTATCGCCCGAGCTGATGCTCCAAATCGCCCTCTGAAGGATATGTACACTGCAATTAAACAAAATTGACTGGTCTGTCACATCAGTTACACAGAAGGATTGATTAGTTATGTACAAGGCAAATCTATGCTTCATAGAATGACAGGATGGTTAATTTGTTATACAGTACAGCCATGAACCAATGAACACTAAGGAGTTCTCAAAGTATAGTCTATGTATTTGGCATGCTATATTATACTTATAAATATATATAAGTCCACCAAAGATTCTTCTAAGTCAAATCTTTTTAACTCTAACCAGCAATATATATATAATAAAAGTATATTATCTTGAATTAAAAAATTATGCATAACAAAATTATTTTTCATACTGATATAAACTCTGGGGTCAGTCTATAACTTTTTATATTGATGGCCAAAGGTAGAACAAAAAACTTAACTCATGACAAACCTAAATGGGCACGTTGAAAGAGAAACAATAAATAAAGAATAAACTAAGTATAAAAGGGAAAATAAATTGAAGAATCGGAAAGCAATAAAGAAAAAGAACTTAAAAAATAAAGGAATCATAAAGCAAGAGAACGGAAACAAATAAATCTTTTTTCTAGCATCAAGATACGACGACTGCCGGGCGTGGGTGGACGCTTCGGTCCGGATTGGTTCGCTCGTAATGTTTGTGAATTGAATCATTACGCGGATTGGTCGGGATCGGATGGCTCGTGTTACGACAATTGGACGGCCCCGAGGTGCGTCTGGACACGTGCTCGAGTCGGACGTCCAGGCGCTAGGTGCGTCGTACTCCCTTTGTCCATAAAAACATGCGACTATAGGTTGCGTGCCAGAAAAATTAGTTCACGTTTGACCAAGTTTCTAATGAATAGTGTTCATATTTATGGCTCCAAATCAATTTAATATGAAAATATATTTCATAATTAATCTAATAATATTTATTTGATATCATAAATATTGATATTTTTTTATCTATAATTGGTCAAACTTAAGATACTAAAACGTGACACTGCGATAGAATTGCATGTTTTCTTGGACGGAGAGAGTAATAGCAAACCTGGGCTATCCGTGCGAGTAGGGGTGTGTTTGGTTTGAGGATAAGGATGGATGGGATATGGCCATCCATGGATTTCGGGATATAGATATCTACGTTGTCTGTTTGGTTGGATGATGAGGCAAGCCATTTTTCTGTTTGGTTGATAGATAAGATTGTATGGGATGAGAATACTTGACTAATTATATCTATTATTTAAAAATAATAACAACTAATTATACCCTAATAAATATGCACTAACACTAATCTTGTCATTATAATCACTAATTAAAAATAAAAATATATTAATTAACACTATACTACTCTAATTGTCACACAAAACATGTGGATATCCTCATCCGTCAGATTTTTGAGGGCCAGCATATCGAGCATCTACCCATAATATTCCCTGTTATGGATATCAGGTTCAGCTTGTCGATCCAACCAAATATCCTGTATCTATAGATATCCATGAAACCAAACACACCCTAGATGGATTGCCCAATCCAAGGCTTTGGGGATCTTTTGAGGGAATCCTGCAGCTGCCTACTCCCTCTTGTCTGACGCTTATGAATTGGCAGGTAGTTGAGGGAGTCCTGCACCTGCCTACTCCCTCTCGGCTGATGCTTACGAATGGGCAAGTAGATGGATTGCCCAATCCAGGACTTTGGGGATCTTTCGAGGGAATCCTGCTCATGCCTACTTCCTCTCTTCTGACGCATAATGGGCAGGTAGATGGATTGCCCAATCCAGGGCTTTGGGGATCTTTTGAGGCTATCATGCTCCTGCCAACTCCCTGTTCGTTGTGTTCTACGAGCCAATTTTTTTTTATTTTTAGCCCTTTTTTGACAATTTTTCATAAATATGCCTCAGGAGGTATGATTTCAAAATCTGGACTCTTAGCTCGGCGCCTTCGTTGCTGGCGCCGAGCTTAAACTTCTCGGCGCCATCGTTGTTGGCGCCGAGGTCTTGGGCTCGACACAGACGTGGCGGTGACTTGACAGGCAGCTCGGCGCCGTAGATCTTGGCACCGAGCTTGACGCTGTGGTTATTGGCACCAAACCTGTCTTACATATGGGCCCTTCCTTCCTTTCTCTCTCGCCCTGAACCAGCACACCGCTGCCGCCGGCCACGCCCGCGCCCTCACCCGCCCCCGGCCGCCCACGCCCGCGCGGCCTGGCCCGCGCCCACGCCACGCCATGTCGCCCGCGCCCGGTCTCGCCCGCCGTACCACCCTCGCCCGCCGTGCTGGCCTCGCCGCGCGGAGCGCCGGCCATCCCGCGTCCGCCGCGAACCATCGCCGGCCCCGGCAGCGCCACCACCGGCCCCGGCCCCTACGGCGCCCGGCCGTGCCACTGCCGGCTCGGCTCGTCGGCCTCACCCACGCCCGACGTCCGCTGCGACTCCGTCCTAGGGCCATCAATCCCGGCATCCGCTGCAACTCCGTCGACGTCCGTGACTTCGTCATCGGACAGGTAAAAATTATGAATATGCAATGTATGTACTTAGTTAGCTTTGATTGTAGTGTAGTAGTTTTGCCATTTGTTATTTAGTAGTTAATGTGATGACTCATGTAGTTGATTTAGTTAGTGATCTAGTGAGATAGATATGTAGATAGATAGAAACATAGATACATAGGTACATAGATATAGTTAGATAGCTACTTAGATAGGTAGTTATATATTTAGTTAACTAAATAGGATCTAGCTATTTAGTGAGTACATTGTATCTATGTACGTAGTTATTATCTTATTTACTTAGTTTGTAGTTAGAAAGTACTTGTTAGGTACTATCTATCGTCTAATTTGGACTAAAGGACATGTGTTTCGTTACGTGTTTGAACTAGATGGACAATCTAGTGAGCATATATCATGGTGGCACCGTGGAAAGAGATCGCTATGGATATGTTGAGTTTGTTGAGATGCAAAGCGTGCCTATGTTATTCAATGAGAAGCCATCGTTTAGTGAGTTGGTTGCAAGGGCTCCAGAGGAGCTACATTGCCATAGAGCTGATGATGATGATGGCATCGCAGTGGAGGGTGTACTTCACCTATGTTCCCCTCCCAACATCCTTAGGAAGATGATCCCAATTGGGTGTGTAGATCAGTGGGAGAACTATGTGAGATCGGCTATGAAGTGTCAGTTCTAAAGTTTGGACGTGGTTGTGCGTCGGGTGTTAGTTGATCCCATCCCTCATGGGTTTTCCCCACCAATGGGTTAGCAGGTACACTTCGACCCTCCCATCCCGAAACCTGATATGGATGCGGAGGTTGCACCTACGGTTCTCGATGCTCAATCTGCCCCCAATATGCTAGTTGGAGATGCTTGTTAGACTCATGATGTTATGGCAGATCCTCCTCATGAGATCCCTTTGACACAGAATCATCCGAGTAAGTATCTTATCCGCATGGTTATTGGGAGCTTACCATATTCCTTACATCCAATTTTTCATTCTTTCCTCATTTTTCTACTTATATTGCAGTAGATATTGCTGACAATGTGGATGTGCCCACTGTTGCTACGTAAGTGCTCTGTGGAGATGGATTCTATGGCTCCAATAGTGTTGAAATTATGAATGATTCAGAGCCATATGAGATGGCAAGGGTTCTTGATTTTGATGATGATCGTCCTGTTGGAGAGCTGATAGAGAGTGATGTTGAGATGCTGAGGCATATCTTTCCCGACCACCGTGATCCAAGAGTTCATGAGCTCAGCGATCTTGCTCATTCCAATCAGGCGTGTGTAGAAGGACGTGATGATGAGCTCCTAGAAGCTCCTGAGGCTGGCCCTAACATGGTAATTGAGAATGGGAGGGTATTCAAGGACTTCCTTGCATTGAAGAGGTGGTTGTAGGCGTTTGCAGTGATACGAAAGAGACCTTACAAGGTCTTGCATTCATATGCGGAGCGCCATTACACAGTTGTGTGTGACAAGGAACGCTGCCCATGGAGGGTTTGTGCAAGGAAGCAAAAGGTCACAGGAAAATGAAAGATCACAAAAGTTGTCGGGTCACACAATTATGCTGACCATGTGCTGACACTGAAGCATCGCCAGTTGACATCTACCCTCATTGCCAAGCGGTTGATGAGAATATTGCAGGGAGAACCCAACATGAAGGTTAGGACAATTATCAGGACCGTTGAGGCGTTGTATGGAGGTTATGTGATAACTTATGGTAAAGCTTGGAGGGCTAAGCAGCGAGCGTGGAAGATGATATATGGGGACTGGGAGCATGGGTATGAGCAGCTGCCAGTACTTTTCAATGCAATCAAAGCGGTGAATCCAGACATGCAATATGAGTACATCCCAAAACCAAATGCAAGGAAGGATGGGAGGCAGATATTCTTTCGTGCTTTCTGGTGCTTCCCTCAGTGTGTCGAGGCCTTTAGGCACTGTCGTCCTGTCTTCTTCATTGATGGTACGTTCTTGATTGGCAAATACCAGGGCACACTTCTTATAGCCATATCCTGTGACGCGAACAAGTTGGTTCCTTTGGCATTTGCTTTGGTTGAGAAGGAGAACAATGACAATTGGGGATGGTTCTTGAGGCTAGTCCAGATACATGTGGTTGGGCCTGGCAGGGAGGTTGGCATCATATCTGATAGGCACCAGGGCATACTTAATGCCGTGCGAGAGCAGATAGGGGGGTATGCACCTTTGCACCATTGTTGATGTACTCAGCACCTTGCTGAGAATCTACTCCGGAAAGATGGTGTGAAGGATAACTTTGATATATTTCAGGAGGCTGCTCGACAGCTTAAGGACAAGTACTTTCAGAAAAAGTTGGAGTAGGTCAGAACTGCATCAAATGCAGAAGGTAGACAATGGCTCACATGTTTGATGAGGGATTTGGAGAAATGGACAAGAGCTCACGACGCCGGTGGATGGAGGTACGAATTTTAGTGCAGCAACATGGTGGAGTCATTCAATAAGTTGCTACTAGGGATACATGGTATGCCCGTTAATGCAATCGTTCAATTCACCTTCTATAAGCTTATTGCCTGGTTCAACGATAGACACGCCCATGC